CCGGGCCTTGGACCCTGATACGCCCACTGCCCCCTCCTCTGTTCCTTTGAGTTTTCTCCCGAGGGGTCCCCCTCCTGGTCCTATGTCTGGGGTTCCCCTTCTTTCAACCCGGTCTGTCGTGTCTCCTGTGTCTTCTTCCTCGTCCCCCTCCGATCCTCCTTCCCATCCTCTTCCTCCATCTATCGGCTCTCCCCACCGCCTGTCGGTGCGGGCGGAGGTCCATCGCTCTCCTAACGGCCGTCATGTGTGCTCTCGTTCGGCTTCTCCTGTTGAGACACTGGAATCCGTTGCCCGGTACGTAGTTGCTGGGACACCGGTCTCTTTAAGTCAGAAGCGTAAGCCTGGCTCCTCTCCTTCCTCTTCCCCGGCGGGTAAGAAAGCTTCACTTTCTTCCTCAGCTCCTACTTCTGGCTCTGTTGCTCCTTCCCCTCCCGTTTCAGTGATTGCGCCTCCTGTTCCTGCTATGGAGGAACAGGGGGTTTCTTTGGCCCCTGCTTCCCTTTCGGTTGCTGCTCTTGCTGGGGTGCGCTCCCCTGTTTCTACTCCCCCTCTTCCTGCTGCTGTCCTTGACTGCTCCTCTCCGTTGTCTCCTCCTCCTCCTCCTCCTCCTCCTCCGGACCCCGCCCGCCCACCTCTGATCTGTTCTCCCGTTTCCTTTCCTCCGTCTTTGCTCAGTTTACCCATGCCCCCTAACCCTGACTTTGCTGACCCTGATCCCGACCCTGATATTCTTTAACGTGCTCTGTTGCTCTTTCGCCTTTGTTTCTTCCTTGTTCTCTGTTTTTGTCCTTTCTCTTCTCGTCGTTGTCCATTCTTCAATGGAACGTTCGAGGTTATTACGCCAATTTCCTCGAACTCCAACTTCTGATTTCGCGGTTTTCGCCCCTTTGTGTCTGTCTCCAGGAGCCAATGCTTGGTGTTCGTCCTGGTCGTTTTCGTGGCTATTCCTTTCTCTCCCCCCCCCCCAGCCATTGCTGGGGCTTCTAATTCTTCTGCTCTCTTGATTCGGGCTGATGTTCCCTTTGTTCCTTTACTTTTTCCTTCGCCTCTCCATTGTTCTGCTGCTCGTATCTTTGTGGGGAAATGGTACACAGTTTGTTCCATTTATCTCCCCCCGAGTGTCCCGCTCTCTCTTCCTGATTTGAAACACCTCCTAGACTCCTTGCCGGAGCCTGTGCTCCTGCTGGGTGACTTCAATTGTCGTCATTCTCTTTGGGGTGACGTTCTGACGAATACCCGGGGTCACCTCCTTGAGCCGTTTCTCCTCTCTTCTTTCCTGTCTCTTCTGAATTCTGGTGAGCCCACTCATTTGGACTCTCGGACTCGCACCCTTTCTTGTCTTGATCTTTCTCTCTGCTCTTCTTCTCTTTACTTAGATTTCACGTGGCAGGTTCTTGATGACCTCCATGGAAGTGATCATTTCCCCATCCTTGTTTCCTTTTTCTCTTTTCGCCCTTCCCTCTCTTTCCCTAGGTGGCAGTTTGCTAAGGCAGACTGGACCCTATTTACCCTCAGTGCTGCTCTCTCTGACCTCTCCCTTCTGCCTCTCTCTCGCGCTCTCCTCCTTTTTCATGACACTGTCTTCAACGCTGCCCTCCGCTTTATTCCTCGCTCTTCCTCTCGGGGTCCACGGAAGTGCGTTCCCTGGTGGAATGCGGACTGCGCTCGGGCTGTCCGCTGTAAGCGTGCAGCCTGGAAGAGGCACCGCCGTAGGCAGACGACCGATTCTTTTCTTTTCTTTCGGAAAGCGAGTGCGGTGGCCCGTAGGGCCATCTGTACGGCTAAGCATGAATGTTGGGCATCTTATGTCTCAACAATTGTGTCCGAAACCCCTCTGGCCCAGATCTGGAAGCGTATCCGCAAGATAGCGGGTAAGTTCGTTCCCGATGTTTCACCGGTCCTTCACCTCCATGATACTCTTGTGGCGGACCCGTTGCAGGTCGCTTCCGAACTGGGTTCCCACTTTTCTTCTGTTAGCTCTGGTCTTCATCTTCCCCAATCTTTCCTTCTTCGTAAACCTGTCCTTGAGTCTCGTCCTTTAGATTTCTGCACTCATCTTCAGCTTCCGTATAATGATCCCTTCTCTCTCTCTGAACTTCGTTCTGCCCTGGCCCTCTGCGGTTCGATGGCGGCGGGCTCCGATGGTATTCATTATGAGATGCTTCGCCATCTCCCTCCGAGCACGTCTCAGTATTTCCTGAGTCTGTATAATCGGATCTGGGAGTCGTCGTCAGTCCCTGAGGACTGGCTCGATGCCGTTGTCCTCCCTGTTCGCAAACCGGGGTCTCTGGGTACTTCCCCTAAGGACTTTCGCCCTATTGCTCTCACAAGTTGTGTCTGCAAACTCTTTGAACGTATGGTTAACGTTCGTCTGATGTGGTTCCTGGAACACCATCACCTCCTCTCCCCTTCTCAATTTGGTTTCTGCAAGTGCCGCAGCACGACAGATGTCCTGGTGAACTTGGAGGTCTATATTCGTACTGCTTTTGCTGCGAAGACCTCCGTTGTTGCCGTCCTTTTTGACCTGGAAAAGGCTTTCGACACCACTTGGCGTTATCATATCCTATCTCAACTTCATTCTTTTGGCCTTCGTGGTCATCTCCCTCTCTTTCTCCGCAGCTTCCTCTCTCGTCGTTCCTTTCGGGTGCGCCTTGGTACTGCTCTCTCTCCCTCTTTTCAGCAATATGAAGGTGTGCCCCAGGGTAGTGTTCTGAGCCCTACTCTTTTTCTGGTTACCCTCAATGGTCTTCTTTCCTCTTCTTCCTTCTTCTCCGCTCTCTATGTCGATGATCTTACCCTTTGTTGTCAGGGTGATGATTCGCCTCTCCTTCAACACCGGCTTCAACTTGCAATTGATGCCGTGTCGTCTTGGGCCACAGATCATGGCTTCAAGTTCTCTACTTCTAAGACTTGTGCCATGACGTTTACGCGAAAACGGGTTGTTCTTCGTCCCTCTTTGTCACTTTATAGTCATCCCCTTGAATACAAAGATTCCGCGAAGCTTTTGGGGTTATTCCTTGACACTCGTTTGTCTTGGTCTCCCCATATCTCTTACCTCCGTGTTGAGTGCTCTAAGGCCCTTACCCTCCTTCGGGTCTTGTCCCATACTTCTTGGTGGGCAGATAGGCGCACTCTCCTTGCTTCACATTCCTTTCTTGTCCTGTCTAAGCTCGATTATGGTTGCCCTGCTTATTCGTCTGCTTCTCCTTCTACTCTTCGCCGTCTTGATGCTTTGCACCATACTGGGTTGCGCCTCAGTTCTGGTGCCTTTCGTTCGACTCCCATCCTTAGCTTGTATGTTGACACTGGCTTCCTGTCTCTCCAGGACCGCCGTGATCGCTACTGTCTTCGCTATCTTGCGCGGTCCTTGCAACATCCTTCCTCTCGCCTCTGTCGTGCTTTAACTTTTACCCCTCCTGCGGTTCCTGTTCCTCTTCACCACCTCCCTCTTTCTGTCCGGTTATCTCGCCTACAGGATTCTCTTTCCGTTCGTATTTCTGATGTTTCTCCTCGTGTTGTTCCTTCTTTGCCCCCGTGGAGGGTCCCTCTTCCGCGGTTTTGTACATCCTTGACCCGTATCACTAAAGCTTTTACCCCTCCTACGGTTCTAAAACGCCTTTTCCTTGAGCACTTTTCTTCTCACTCCCGCTTCGTTTCTGTCTTCACCGATGGGTCTAAGTCAGCGGACGGTGTTGGCTACTCTGTTGTTTTTCCTGATCGCACTTATATGTGTCGCTTGCCTCCGGAGACTAGCATCTTTACAGCGGAACTTTATGCTATTCTCTATGCTCTTCGTCTCCTGCTTTCTCGTTGTCAGTCTTCCTTTGTAGTTGTTGTTGACTCTCGTAGTGCCCTCATGGCTCTCGGGTCCTTTAATCCGGTTCATCCAGTAGTTTTCGAGATCCAGCATTGGCTGTTTCTTGTTCACAGTAAATTTAAGTCGGTTGAGTTTTGTTGGGTTCCCAGCCATATTGGTGTGTCTTTAAATGAGCGTGCGGATGCAGCCGCCAAGGAAGCTGTCCGCTCTTGTCCCATCTCTCGTAAAGGCATTCCGTATTCCGACTTTTACCCGGTTATCCATTCCTCAGTCCTTACCCATTGGCAGGCTTCTTGGTTGTCTGTTACTGGTAACAAGCTACGTACTCTTAAATGTTGTGTTTCCTCGTGGCCGTCCTCCTTCCACCATAACCGGCGGTGGGAAACAGCTCTGGCGAGGTTGCGTATTGGCCGTACTCGCTTAACCCATGGTCACTTGATGGAGCGCCGCCCTGCTCCTTATTGTCCTAGTTGCATTGTCCCTCATACGGTCGTGCATGTCCTTCTTGAATGTCCTGACTTCCAGGACGAGCGTGTGTCTTGCTTTCCGACCGCCCCTCGCGGTCACCTGTCCCTCGATAGAATTCTTGGTGACTCGGATACTTTTGATATCGTTCGCCTTATGCGTTTTTGTTCTCGTATTGGCATCCTTGGTGATATTTAGCGCCCTCTGATTATTTTCTGTATTTGATGGTGCTACATAGCCTTCCCGGTTTGGTGCCTTCTTTTGATAATTACTTACTTACTTGGTGGAGGTGGGGTCTCTCGATTGTTTCAAGCGTGGGTTGGGCATGTATATGAGTGGGATTTGTGGTTATAAATAGGAGCTGCCTCGTTTGGGCCAATAGACCTTCTGCAGTTACCTTTGTTCTTATTATAAAGTTATGTGTTAGGACTTGATAATGGTCCAGGACGGACCGAATCGTCGTCGTATCTTCATCTTCTGGTGTGTGGTTTGGTCGTTATGGCTAAGTAATAGATGGCTGAATGTCATTTTCAAAATTCCTCTCTGAGTTTTATTTTTATCATCATCTCGCACTACCACATCCTCTGAGTAGAAAAAGCTGAAAGTCCCAACAAGAAGCACCAAGTACATGGTACTTGTACAAGTTCTTTGATGCGTGTGAGCATGATAGAACTCATAACAACTTACATCAATACTGCAGCACAGGAATGATACTCACCACCGTCAGCGATATGGTAGATTTCTTGCGAACGTGTTTACTGGCATCCTGTCGTTGCATGAGGGTGACTGCATGGCCACCCTGAGAGGCAGCTCTGACGCAGGCGTAGATAGAGCCGTGGGTGGGGCACTCGGTGGAGGAAAGCCTGCCGAGGGATGTGGGGTGATGGTGGTGGTGAGGAGTGGAACTTTGGGGGGATATTGCTGGCTGGCCGTAAACTGAGCCCCAGAACAGGAAGCGGCGATGATGGCGTGCGATGTGATTGACAACGGTGAACTCCACCAGTGCTAGAAACACGAAAGCTGTGCACGACCCCATCCAGATGTCCAGAGCCTTCACGTACGACACTGTGGAGATTGAGACATTGAGCACAGAATTGCAAATCAATCAATCAGAAAGTTAAAAATTTCACAAACATTACAATTGTTGCAGTTTTGTAACAATTGTGGTTGCAGTGCAATTGAGTTTGCAGAGGTGTATGCCCAGGGGTGAGGGACCCAGGGCTAGGTGGGGTATTTTGTACTGTAAGTTGGTAGTGGGAGAGCACAGAGGTTCCTACCTCCCCAAAACCATTGCCCAGCTAACCGCAACTTCTCTCTTCCCCTCTTGAAACGATGTCCCCCGTGGCGTCGTGGTAAAATATTCAGCCGCCACTTTACGAGCGCTCTGACCTTGGTTCGTATCCTGGCCGGGGAGGATTGATTGACGCCAATCCTTAAATGTAGCTCTGTTCACTCAGTAGTGAATGGGTAACTGGTTATTAAACGATTTGGGGGATCGTATTCCGTGGGAAAATTTGGATAAAGGACCTGCCCGAAAGGCTATTAATGCTAGTGGCTTTACAAGAATGTAAGAACTCTTGGGTTCCAAGGGGTTGTCATAGCCAGGGGGTGGTAATGGGGGACGAACTCCCATTACCTATAAAAAGCTCCCGTACAGCATGCGTCTCAAATAGCCTCTAACAACCAAGTCCAACTCCTGGCCTGCACGGGTGGCTTAGTTTTTAACTCTGGCGGAACTGCTTTTACTGACAGAAGGGGCGAGGGTGTGCCTCTGGCGCCTTAAAACCAGTCGCTCCGAGTAGATGGGACTCGTTAGCCTGCGAAGGCAGCCCATCTAGGGAAAGGAAAAACCTGATTTCAAACCTTCGCTGCCTTGTGGCCATACCCTTCTTTTGGGAAAGGCTTCAGAAGACAACCTCGAGGAAAAATCAGGAGTTGGACCCCCTAAGGCAGTTCGTCGTTGACTTTGACCTCGTTCTGGCAGCTCCTGCGACAGTGCTGAAACCATGTGTATTATCATTTGCCTTTCCATTGGATATTTCCAATGGAAACGTGGAGAGGGGGGGGGGGAATGCCCTCTGCTGCATGGGTAACAGCTTTTCCTTCATATCTACCTACCCAGGCTATGCGCCCTGGAGAGATTGTCAACCAGAGCGCAACTCCATAGTCTCAAAAGACTGAAGGATGCCTACTAAGAACTCTTGTATAAATAAATAAACTCTTGTATAAATAAATAAATCAATAACAAAATAAATGTCGCCCCTGGCAGGATACTGCTGAACTAGTGATGATGGAAGGAGCTAGTACAGATGTGTGCACCAATTGCAGGTATTTGGAGACAAAGTTTGGTAGCCTAATGCAGTGATTGGTCAACGGTGATGACGTCACGGAAGTCACTATGCCACCGGTGAAAGCCCAGAATGTTATTCGGTGCTATGGGACGCAAAGGGGAGAGAAGCTGCTTGGTTGAGCTTGGGGGCAGCCATTCTTCACCTAAGTCGATAGTAATTAAAGTGACTTTTGCATCTGTAATATGCCAAAAGCTTGGCTTGGGAAAGCCAAAGCCGAATCACTGTTAATTGCAGATACGATTGGATTGACATCTTAACAAGGATCTAACTGTATGAGCGTGTCTGTGCGCATGCCACTCAGGGAGTGACTTGCACATGGTCATTGGTGTGTGTGTGTGTGTGTGTGTGTGTGTGTGTGTGTGTGTGTGTGTGTGTGTGTGTGTGTGTGTGTGTGTGTGTGTGTGTGAGTGTGCGCCAAGCCCTCGGAGAACTCTGCCAGTCGTGTCTGTGTGATAAAAGTTCTCGTATGGTACAAACAATGTACTCCTTTTACGTGAACTGCCAAAGGCCACTGCTAAATGGACGAATTTAGTTCGTGTATAAATTCGTCTTTGACGATCAGTTTGAGATGAAATGATTCGTCGCTTGGCCACCAGAGGGTGTGGACGACCTTGTTTTTGGCTCCTCAGTTGGTGGGCTTGCAGTGGTGGTGGAGGACGTGTGGCTGGTTCGGCCCTGTTTCGGTACCATGCTGGTACAGAATGAGAGTATTCCAGGATGGGTGCTATTTTGCCTTCCCTGAAGAGGACCACCTCAGCTGGTTTAGTGTTGTCCTTGCCGGTGGACCACATGTTGGTTAGTCTTGCATTGGTGGACGTGCTCTGTCAAGTTGCCTGATCTGATGGAAGTTCAGCTGCTTCAGGACTGTCGTGTGGTGATTTCTCCATTCAGCTGAGTTTCAAGAGTTCCTCGGCCGGTGTGAGGGGCATTCTTTCCCTCTGTCCGATGGAGCGGGCACCGTTCGGGGGGTTAACCTGAGTGTGACTTTGACTTACGTGGTGGTGCATGGAACGCCGTTCGAATTACCGGATGAGATTTTAACCAGGCTGTTTGGGCGATTTGGGAAAGTACTCAGTATCCGATGGAACAAGGTCTTTGTCGGACACTGTGCGGGAGTGTTTGATGGCACCAGGACTCTGACGATGTCCCTGGCACGAAGCTGTTCCTTCATTGTTGTACTTGATGGGATTTACACTCCACTGCCTGTATAGAGGTCAGCACCCGTGCGTGTTATCCATTGTGGTCTGCAGGGTTACCTGGAGGCAGCTTGCAACATGGTCGCAGCTGATTGAGTAAATACCTGGTTGATACCTGGTTGATGGGGTTCTGGGAGTTCTTCTACTCCCCAAGCCCGGCCCGAGGCCAGGTTCGACTTGTGAGAGTTTGGTCCACCAGGCTGTTGCTTGGAGCGGCCCGCAGGCCCACATACCCACCACAGCCCGGTTGGTCCGGCACTCCTTGGAGGAATAAATCTAGTTTCCTCTTGAAAATGTCCACGGTTGTTCCGGCAATATTTCTTATGCTTGCTGGGAGGACGTTGAACAACCGCGGACCTCTGATGTTTATACAGTGTTCTCTGATTGTGCCTATGGCACCTCTGCTCTTCATTGGTTCTATTCTACATTTTCTTCCATGTCGTTCACTCCAGTACGTTGTTATTTTACTGTGTAGATTTGGTACTTGGCCCTCCAGTATCTTCCAGGTGTATATTATTTGATATCTCTCTCGTCTTCTTTCTAGTGAGTACATTTGGAGGGTTTTGAGACGATCCCAATAATTTAGGTGCTTTATTGCATCTATGCGTGCCGTATATGTACTCTGTATTCCCTCTATTTCAGCAATCTCTCTTGATCTGAAGGGGGAAGTGAGTACTGAGCAGTACTCAAGACGGGACAACACAAGTGACAAATATATTCAGGGAGGATGATTTTCCACCTCTTACGACCCAGGAGGTGCCAGTGGGGGTGTTAACTGGATGTGCTGTTCTTCCTCCCAGTCTCCCGGATGATGGGACTGTGTGTGTATGGAAGGTCCCGGCTGAGAGCGAGGGAGTGGTGGCGCGCTCTGTGTTGACGGAGGACGATTAACTGGCAGTGTGTGAGGGTGTAGTTGAGCATAAAGAGCTGGTGGAGATCCATAGTGTGCCACATGTAGTGGGGTTGGAGGAAGCTTCCATGGGGGTGTCCTCTCCTGCCCTGGGGGGGGGGGGTCTGGTGTGCCTGGCCCGCCGGTGGGCCGCTGGGGGAGGAGGTCCCACCCATCTCTAGTGGCATCCCAGTCTCCCTCGCCTATGGAGGGTGTGTGTACCCCACGACGCCTCCGGGACATGTCGTGTATGTTGGGCTGGTTTCTAAACAGAAGTGTAGGAAGGGCGCTGCCAGGTCGTGGTCCCTTGGTGGTGTGGAGACTATGGACACCGAGAGGGGGATGGAGGAGGTGGTGCTTGTAGAGGTGAAGAAGATGGTTCCTTTGCCTGCTCCTGCCTGTGAGCTCCCCAATGCCAATGGACCAAAATGAGGAAGTTGTTGGCCCTGGTGATAGTGGTTGTGCAGGGCATGATTTGCGTTGGATGTTAAAAAGGGGTCTATTGCCTATCCTCAAGAGGTCCCCTCCCTGGAAACACAAACCGAAACTGTCTCTATTTTCCGCTTGTTACAACTTGTAATAAAGCTGTTACATCTTGGCTTAACGTGTTTATGACGTATTAGAACGTTGTTACAACTTGCTATATTGGTTGTTATAACTGGTTAGGAAGTGTTAAAACTTGTTCGAACGTTGTACCAACGTCGTAGTTTCGGTGTGTGTTGCTCCCATTCTCGGAAGTCTGGTACCCTTCCTAGGGTGTGTGTGCTGGAGGTGCTTCTCATTTGGGTTTTATGTTTGTTTATATTTGTCTGTGTACTTCTTTTTAATGTGTTGGGGGTACTTCTAGTTCCCATGGGTATATCATTATATGTTCCTTTGAGTTTTACTATACTTTCTTTGTTGCCTTTGTGCTTGTCGACCCCACCTGTTTATAGGGACATACTGTGCATGCGTGTCTTGTGGCAAGATTCGGAGGTGTCTCCCCTCCTTGCTTGTAACGATTGTTCTGGCTATGTATTGTATGCTGGGTTTCGTCTGTTTTTATTGAATATTGTTAATGAGGTCTCGTGTCTGGCCTTTTCTTTAAACCATGCATCCCTTATGTTTGTTCAGTTTGGTTATGAATGTATGAATGTTTGGGGCTGAAGGCTTTCCCCTTTCAATGTCTTCTGGTTCTGAATTTTATCATTTTTGTGGGTGGTAACGGCTTCTGAGTGTTGGGGTCCATTATGTATGTTCATGTCTTTTGTGTTTTTCTGTATTTCTGTTTTTCCGTGTTTCCTTGTTCTGCGTGCATGGAGTGGTGCCCTGGTGCGTGTCCATGTATTACACTTGTGTTTGCCTATTTCTGTTTTGGTGTTAGTAACTGTATGAATTGTTTGGTGTATTGTCGATTATTAGAATGCTGCCTGTTGTGTTGTGACACTGCTATGGTGCTTCGGTGCCTTGCTTTTATTCGTATTTATTTTTTGTTTCTAAGAAAGAAAAAACTTGAGGTGAGAGCTATCACGGCTTTGTCTAGGGAAAACAAGACCGAGTTCCCTCGCTGCTTCGGAAAAAAATATGCCAGACCACATCATACCTTGAGGTTACCTTGAGGTGCTTCCGGGGCTTAGCGTCCCCGCGGCCCGGTCGTCGACCAGGCCTCCTGGTTGCAGGACTGATCAACCAGGCTGTTGGACGCGGCTGCTCGCAGCCTGACGTACGAGTCACAGCCTGGTTGATCAGGTATCCTTTGGAGATACTCATGCAGATTATCATCTGCATAATCATCGCCTGATAAGCAACAAAAGGCAGTGCCTGTGCCACCACCAACAACGCCGGGTGTATGCATAGTTGCGAGTGGAGGAGTAAATAACGTGAGTACAGGATCCTTTAAATTATTGTAAACTGGTACCATCTATGTCTTAGTGAATCACCCTCAAGCAATTACTGCACTCCACACTTGCAGTATCAAAACAACAACAACGTTTTAATTAATAATGCTAATAATACAGTTAACACTGTGTCACCAAGACAAATCCAACACTTGTTTTTAACCCTTTAATTGACACTCAATTACTTCATGTTAATTACTCTCACTAAGACAGCAACAATCAAGAATTATTAACTCTTTAATTAACACTTGGTTAATTTACGTTAATCACTGTCACTAGGACAAAAATAATTAAGTTAGCACACTAATAATTATAAATATAATTTAACTTCTTATTATACTAGTTATTTTATCACACAGACCAAGACAAGGATAACATGACCAGTGTCACCAAGACACAACAACAACAGCAGTATACTCACACGAGCCACTAAGACACAACAACGGTATACTCACACGAGCCACTAAGACACAACAACGGTATACTCACATGAGCCACTAATCACAACAACAACAGCAGTATACTCACACGAGCCACTAAGACACAACAACGGTATACTCACACGAGCCACTAAGACACTCCTGTGTTACAAAGACACTTTTACTAGACTAGATGGTAACAATCCTAAACTAATTGTTGAGGATTGATCAGAGATTGACTCTGATCAATCTGGGATCAGAGTAAACCTCGCAAGGAGCTGTCTCTGTGTCTGTCAATATTGATGCATAGGTGAGATTGTAGAAAACACCGAAGCTTAAGATAAGCATCTTAGGCTGTCACAAGATGCTTATCTAAGATACTAACAAGGTTAGGAGGTCGGTGTTTTCTATGAATCTTTTTAGGGGTATCTATTATGTTTAGTATATCAGTGCACGTAGTTAATAAGTCAATATTGACTTTACGAATTTGCGAGAACGGGTTGGATGAGGAGGGATAGTCCGTGACACTTCAAGGTGTGTCACTTCACTTATGGGTGACTGTCATGTGTGTGGAAGGTTATGTAACACATGTCAGTTTAGGATTGTTACCATATAGTCTAGTAACAGTGTCTTTGTGACAGGAGTGTCTTAGTGGCTTGTGTGAGTATACCGTTGTTGTTGTTGTGTCTTGGTGAGTCTGTTATCCTTGTTATTGTCTTGGTCTGTGTGGTAAAATAACTAGTATAATAAGAAGTTAAATTATATTTATAATTATTAGTGTGTTAACTTAATTATCTTTGTCCTAGTGACAGTGATTAACGTAGCTTAACTGTGTTAATTAAAGAGTTAATAATTATTGATTGTTGCTATCTCAGTGACAGTGATTAACATAAAGTAATTGAGTGTTAATTAAAGGGTTAAAAACATTTGTTGGATTTGTCTTGGTGACACGGTGTTAATTGCATTGTTAACATTATTAATTAAAGCGTTGTTGTTGTTTTAATACTGCAAGTGTCGAGTGCAGTAATTGCTTGCGTGTTCACAAAGTGTTCATTGTTCACAACAGTTCACTATTGTTGTGACCTGTCCAGAGGGTCGAGACTGAGGTCTCATGTCACCTGTCAGAATGCTGAGAACGGATTTCCTGCTGCAGGAAGGTGATGTTAGCTATTGAGGCGACACTCTTGATTAACGTAACGTAGCGTATATCATAGTGTATTAGTAAGTTTGTTGAGTAAATTTATTTTGCTATTACATGTGTCTTTACGCCATTCCTCATTCTGAGTACTGCCCCGATGTTATGCTCATCCATTTTATGTTGCTTCATGGTTTAATTGGCTTGGCTCAGGGTATCAAGACCCCACAGTCTCAAACACTAAATATTAAATTTGGTGTGAGGACCCATTAGTTATCTTCTAGATTGCTTCAAGCAGTTGAAGGACTGGCGGCCTAAGTGCAGGAGGTACCCGTATTACTGGCGGGAGTCGAGGGTTGTCCAGACTTATACACCTGAATTTCCTCTCCAGCTGAGCTTCCAGTGGACCTCGGCGCTTGCTCTCGCCCCCGGGTTGTTTGTAATTTTCTGCATAGTTACCTCTTGCAATGTGACCGTTACTGGCATTGGTGTTTTTGCTTGCAATTGCAGATTGTTGCAGGAAGCAACAATAAGCAAGAAAACTCCGTACCCTCACATATATGTACAGTTGTATTTCACGTATACAATTCCATGAGACTGCTTAGGCTCTCACGCACATGATGAAGATTAAGCCATCCAAGAGGAGGCGCGGGCATTAATAGCCCGTAACTCAATTACGGGATTCTCACACAGCATCCGCTGGTCACATCCTAATTCCTAAGTAATCCTTATATATGGAAAATTCCATTATCTCAAATTACTGGGCCAAGGTTAGTCACTCAAACATACACACATGCTACTCACGTAATCCACCAATGAGGTCTTCGCTGCTACAGTGAGGGTGTGGATGTTCTCCCATCTGAGACATCGTCACTTGCCGAGTTGGTCGAGGCTCGCCTCTGCTCCACCCGGCCTGCAGAACAACTGCTTGCCACCCCTCGTTTGAGCCAAGGTCTCAACTATCAAAACCACATCTAATCGCCTGCCTTATTGCCCTCCACAACCACACTCATTTAGAGACGTGCCTTGAGCACGCCTTTAGGCGTTTCGGCCCAAGCCAAATATCCCCAGTTTGCTAACTGTAGATAGTAACTGAGTGATTGTAACCTATCCACCGCTGCCCCATTGGATGGGGTCGGTGTGCAGGGTAAACATATCAATTGTGACACTAGCTCTCCACATGTCAGTTGCTTAATTATAAACTGTTCTAGTGGTCGTCTCGAGTACATTTTTGATGTGACGCTATGCATTGAATTTTGTAACTAGCTCATCAAGATTGTAACTCCCTTAGCTTAATGAATTGTGGGGTTCAGTCCCTGAGCCCATTATGTGCCTCTGTAACCCTTTCTACTACCGCTCACAGGATGGGTATGGGGTGCATGATAAATGAACAAGACTTAAAAAACGTACATAATTTACGGCACTCTCAAAGATGGCGACAATTTTGCGTTTCAAACTGTCTCTAAAGCACCGGTTCAACACGGCCCATGCATCAACACTCATAAACTCACTCGCCACCCAATATATTAGAGAGAGACATCTACTTATTCCCTAACTTACTCCTACAACAATCTAGTTGTTGTAGGAATGAGTACAACACTAGTTGTTTTGGGTTACTTAAATGTATTTGGCAACTTGTATTTCGTAAATATAAATCCAATTTTAATACATTGTATTTTTGAACATAGTAAAGAACGTAACTCCCAGACATAGCAGTTTTCTGTTACATATTTAAACCTTCGTATTATGGACGTAGTAATGGTCGTAAATCTTGGACTCCACGTCCAGTAGTTTTTATTACACTAGATTTTTAATAATTGTATTTTGGACGTAGTAATGAGATAACATTTCTCTTTCGTAACAGTTTTATACTATTTCAGTGTGATCTCTCCTATTCGTCTATTCGTTATCTCTTACCATCCTAATCATTTCAAAACAATTTCAGAGTGAGGTGAGTGTTGGTGAGAGTGAGAGACCGGAGTGAGAGCAGAATGAAAGTGAGTGAGTGTGGATGAGAGTGGATGAGTGCAGAGGGCTGAGAGGAGCCGAGAGTGAGAGATCGAGTGCAGGTCACCATGAAGGAGCCTGAGTGCAAGTGAGCCTCTGTGTACTTCTTTATCTGTACTTTCTTATTCCAAACAAATTCCTAACATTCTCCAGACCTTTCATTCAATCCTTCAACTTCACTATTAAGTTATAGTTCTCACTCCCGACTATTGGTCCTCATGTCATCATTCTTACTTTTCCCATTAAGCCTGACAGCGCATTATTGTTCAAAACTCTCCTCTGATGTCATTAAGGTATTCAACCTATTCTTATTATCATTAACAAACTTTTACCGAGACCTCGATTAGTATCATAACTAAGATAATCTTTCCGTAATGAAACTTGTTTACTCTGAATCAAAATGTTTCTAAGACATCTTTATTAGGATAAACTTTGTACTAAGTCAATCTTTCCGTGTTATATAATAACTGTTTTATGTAGTAACAAAACTAATTAACACATCTTTGTGTAGTAATTAGTTCAACCTACTGTTATTGTGTTCCGTATCATAACTTCCATCACTGTTCTTTAATGTGTTAAAAATAATACTTAGTTATGTTAACCTCTTAACGAGCACTGATCCCTAATGTGTAGAATGATCAGGAAGCCACATACTCCATACACGCGTCTAACATTCCCATAATATAATGTATTAAAACTAAACTAGAATCTCCCATATCGTCCCCACATTACTGTCCGTCCTGCTACCAGAAGCGCGCCCGTTCCTCACCTGTGGGCATCTTGTCCCTGAAGGAAGTGGACTCGGAGCACACGGTGAGGAGAGTGGTGACCCCGAGGGTGACGCGCGAGGGTATGGCGTCGACGTCGAGCCAGAAGCTGACCCAGGACACCACCACGATCAGGGAGGTGGGCAGGTAGGACTGTACCAGGTGGTACCCGATGTTGCGACGCAGGTCGAACACCGCTTGCAGGCAGCTGTAGTTACCTACAAGGTGGGGAGAGCCGGGAGATGAGGAACCTAGCACCGGAGCAGGGGTCAAAGTGCTTCTTTGTGAGATGTTAGGCAATTTATGGTGCAAACTCCATATTCCCTGGTTTATAAGTGACATTTTGATGAGCAGCGGCACAAGTAACCAGAAATAATATATTTACATTGGAATATACTAGAATATAGACAGCATAACCAAGCCCATGTTTACTCAAGAACAGACAGGCCCTCTGTTCACTCAGTGAGAGACCGACCCCGCCTTTTCACCCCCCCCTCCTTTCACATTGACAGCCCCCCCCCCCATGTCCACTCACCGCACGACAGGCACCATGTTCACTCGGTGATAAACTGAACCCCTCTTCAGTGACAGACAGGCTCATTGTACACTCCGTGGTAGGCAGATCCTCCTTGTTTACTGATAGAGGGGATCCGTGTACACCCAGTGACAGACGGGACTCGTGTACACCCAGTGACAGACGGGACCCGTGTACACCCAGTGACAGACGGGACCCGTGTACACCCAGTGACAGACGGGACCCGTGTACACTCAGTACACCCAGTGACAGACGGGACCCGTGTACACCCAGTGACAGACGGGACCCGTGTACACCCAGTGACAGACGGGACCCGTGTACACAGTGACCAGTGACAGACGGGACCCGTGTACACCCAGAAACAGAGGGGACCCGTGTACACCCAGAAACAGAGGGGACCCGTGTACACCCAGTGACAGACGGGACCCGTGCACACCCAGTGACAGACGGGACCCGTGTACACCCAGTGACAGACGGGACCCGTGTACACCCAGTGACAGACGGGACCCGTGTACACCCAGTGACAGACGGGACCCGTGTACACCCAGTGACAGACGGGTCACTGAAACGTCAATGTTTATTCAGCATCAATTTATTCTCACATTGCTGCCTTCAACACTGTCATTTAATCAGTAACCAGATGTTTGCATCAGAACGCCAGTGTGAAAGGTCAGGATGAAGGTATGGGTTTCAGAACATAGGAACTCAGAAATGTAAAAGGACAGGATGCAGATATGGGTATTAGAACATAGGGACTCACCAATGTGGAAGGATTGGTTGCAGGAGTCCACTCTGATCTCCTTCATCTCAAACTGGGGTAGCTTCAGTCTCTTATACATTTTGATCGGCGTGTGCTCGTACCACACAAGCTCCAGCTCCCGCGTGGTCTTGACGACTGGTTGGTGATGGGAAATAACAGTGACGACAGTGACTAAGAGGGGCAGTGGTATTGAGAAAGGCAGGAAGAAAACAGTGAAGGACGGGGGTGTAAGGAACACAAAGCTTGCGTCAGGGCGAGAGTGCTCAATAAATTATAGCCAGAGAGAAGAACAAGGAGGTAGGACACGACGGAGAGCCGCGGTCCTCGGGAGGGTAGAGATCAGGTCATATTAAAGGAAGAAGAAATATTAAAACATTAAGTTCACATATAATTTTTGTAAGAAATAGTTATCGAAATAAATTATTATATCACTTTATCCTCGCGCGCGCTCACACACACATTGTACCACCTTGGGAGCCTGGTAGCCTGGTGGATAGCGCGCAGGACTCGTAATTCTGTGGCGCGGGTTCGATTCCCGCACCAGGAAGAAACAAATGGGCAAAGTTTCTTTCACCCTGAATGCCCCTGTCACCTAGCAGTAAATAGGTACCTGGGAGTTAGTCAGCTGTCATAGGCTGCTTCCTGGGGTATGTGTGGTGTTGGGAAAAAAAGTAGTTAGTAAACAGTTGATTGACAGTTGAGAGGCGGGCCGAAAGAGCAAAGCTCAACCCCCGCAAAAACACCTGGGTGAATACACACACACGCACACACATACACACACACACACCTGGTGGCCGAGTGGCGCCTGGTGGCTGAGTGGACATCATGCTGGATATGTAGTCACGTGGACCGGGGTTCGAATCCGGCGCCACCAAAAACAAATGGGCAGAGTTTCTTTTACCCTGATGCCCCTGATGTATTTATATATATATATATATATATATATATATATATATATATATATATATATATATATATATATATATATATATATATATATATATATATATATATATATATATATATATATATATATATGTCGTACCTAGTAGCCAGAACGCACTTCTCGGCCTACTATGAAAGGCCAGATTTGCCTAATAAGCCAAGTTTTCTTGAATTAATTGTTTTTCAACTACCTAACCTACCTAACCTAACTTTTTCGGTTACCTAACCTAACCTAACATATAGAGATAGGTTAGGTTAGGTTAGGTAGGGTTGGTTAGGTTCGGTCATATATCTACGTTAATTTTAACTCCAATAAAAAAAATTGACCTCATACATAATGAAATGGGTAGCTTTATCATTTCATAAGAAAAAAATTTGAGAAAATATATTAATTCAGGAAAACTTGGCTTATTAGGCAAATCGGGCCTTGCATAGTAGGCTGAGAAGTGCGTTCTGGCTACTAGGTACGACATATATATATATATATATGTCGTACCTAGTAGCCAGAACGCACTTCTCAGCCTACTAAGTGACAGACGGGACCCGTGTACACCCAGTGACAGACGGGACCCGTGTACACCCAGTGACAGACGGGACCCGTGTACACCCAGAAACAGAGGGGACCCGTGTACACCCAGAAACAGAGGGGACCCGTGTACACCCAGTGACAGACGGGACCCCGTGCACACCCAGTGACAGACGGGACCCGTGTACACCCAGTGACAGACGGGACCCGTGTACACCCAGTGACAGACGGGACCCGTGTACACCCAGTGACAGACGGGACCCGTGTACACCCAGTGACAGACGGGTCACTGAAACGTCAATGTTTATTCAGCATCAATTTATTCTCACATTGCTGCCTTCAACACTGTCATTTAATCAGTAACCAGATGTTTGCATCAGAACGCCAGTGTGAAAGGTCAGGATGAAGGTATGGGTTTCAGAACATAGGAACTCAGAAATGTAAAAGGACAGGATGCAGATCGAAAATAAACACGTGACACGTCAGACGGAGGAAAAATGAAAGCCTACTATGCAAGGCCCGATTTGCCTAATAAGCCAAGTTTTCCTGAATTAATATATGTTCTCTAATTTTTTTCTTATGAAATGATAAAGCTACCCATTTCATTATGTATGAGGTAAATTTTTTTTTAATGGAGTTAAAATAAACGTAGATATATGACCGAACCTAACCAACCTTACCTAACCTAACCTATCTTTATAGGTTAGGTTGGGTTAGGTAGCCGAAAAAGTTAGGTTAGGTTAGGTTAGGTTAGGTTAGGTAGGTTAGGTAGTCGAAAAACAATTCATGAAAACTTGGCTTATTAGGCAAATCGGGCCTTGCATAGTAGGCTGAGAAGTGCGTTCTGGCTACTAGGTACGACATATATATATATATATATATATATATATATATATATATATATATATATATATATATATATATATATATATATATATATATATGCGAACAAGCCTGAATGGTCCCCAGGACAATATGCAACTGAAAACTCACACCCCAGAAGTGACTCGAACCCATACTCCCAGGAGCAACGTAACTGGTATGTACAAGACGCCTTAATCCACTTGGCCATCACGACCAGACAAAATGAGGTGATAGCCTAAGCTATTTGAACCACCCCCCGCCGGTACTCGGATAGTAATCTTGGGCATAGCATTTACCAAATCACCTTATTCTTTGGGGCACACGTGAGGAACACAAATGCGAACAAGCCTGAATGGTCCCCAGGACAATATGCAACTGAAAACTCACACCCCAGAAGTGACTCGAACCCATACTCCCAGGAGCAACGCAACTGGTATGTACAAGACGCCTTAATCCACTTGACCATCACGACCGGACAAAATGAGGTGATAGCCTAAGCTATTTGAACCACCCCACCGCCGGCACTCGGATAGTAATCTTGGGCATAGCATTTACCAAATCACCTCATTCTTTGGGGCACACGTGAGGAACACAAATGCGAACAAGATATATATATATATATATATATATATATATAATATATATATATATATATATATATATATATATATATATGTCGTACCTAGTAGCCAGAACGCACTTCTCGGCCTACTATGCAAGGTCCGATTTGCCTAATAAGCCAAGTTTTCCTGAATTAATATATTTTCTCTAATTTTTTTCTTATGATAAGATAAAGCTACCCATTTCATTATGTATGAGGTCAATTTTTTTTATTGGAGTTAAAATTAACGTTGATATATGACCGAACCTAACCAACCCTACCTAACCTATCTTTATAGGTTAGGTTAGGTTAGGTTAGGTAGCCGAAAAAGTTAGGTTAGAATAGGTTAGGTTAGGTAGTCGAAAAAACATTAATTCATGATTATTCATGGCAGGAGGATGGGAACGGAGACACACGACTCTTAAGAGTACGTAGTTTGTTACCAGTAACAGAAGACCAACAGGCCTGCCAATGGGAGAGGATGGAGGAATGAATAACTGGATAAAAGTCGGAATAAAGAATACCTTTATGGGAGATGGGACAAATGCGGATAGCTTCCTTAGCGGCAGCATCCGAATGCTCATTTAAAGAGGCACCAACATGGCTGGGAACCCAACAAAACTCTACTGACAAATATACTGGAGATAATAAACAGCCAATGTTGAATCTCGATGACCACTGGGTGGACTATATTAAAGGACCCCCAAAGCCATGAGGGCACTACGAGAGTCGACCACCACTACAAAGGAGGATTGACAACGAGAAAGCAGGAGACGAAGAGCATAGAGAATAGCATAAAGTTCTGCTGTGAAGATGCTAGCCTCCGGAGGAAGGCGACACATATAAGTGTGGTCAGGAAAAAACAACGGAGTAGCCCACTCCGTCAGCAGACTTAGACCCATCGGTGAAGATGGAAACGGAGTGGGAGTGTGAAGAAAAGTGCTCATGGAAAAGACGTTTCAGAACTGTAGGAGGGGTAAAAGCTTTAGTGATGCAGGTCAGGGAAGTGCAAAATTTGGGAAGAGGGACCCTCCACGGGGGCAAGGACGGAACAATACGAGGAGAAACATTGGTAATACGAACCGAGAGAGAATCTTGTTAGCGAGACAAAAGGACAGAAAAAGGAAGGTGGTGAATAGCAACAGGAACTACAGGAACTAAAAGTTAAAGCACGACAGAGGCGAGAGTGAGGATGCTGTAAAGACCGAACAAGATAGCGAAGACAGTAGCGATCACGGCGGTCCTGGAGAGATAGGAAGCCAGTGTCAGCGTACAAGCTGAGGGTGGGAGTTGAACGAAAGGCACCAGAGCTGAGGCGTAACCCAGTATGGTGCAAAGGATCAAGACGGCGAAGAGTAGGAGGAGAAGCAGAAGCGTATACAGGGCAACTATAATCGAGTTTGGACAGGACGAGAGAGGAATGCAAATAGAGGAGCATGCGCCTATCCTCTCCCCAAGAAGTACGGGACGAAGCCTTAAGTAGGTTAAGGGCCTTAGAGCACTCAACTCGGAGGTAAGAGATATGGAGCGAAAAGATGAACGAGTGTCAAAAATTAACCCCAAAAGCTTAGCGGAATCTTTGTACACAAGGGGATGACCATAATGTGACAAAAAAAGACGAAGGACACGCTTTTGAGTAAAAGTCATAGCACAATTCTTAGTTACAGAAAACTTGAAACCATGATTGGTGGCCCAAGACGACACGGCAACAATCACAAGTTGAAGTCGCTGTTGAAGGAGAGACGAATCATCACCTCTACAGCAAAGAGTAAGATCGTCGACATAAAGTGTGGAGAAGATGCCAGAAGGAAGATAGGAAAGAAGACCATTGAGGGCAACCAGAAAAAAGAGTAGTACTCAGAACACTAGCCTGGGGTACACCTTCGTATTGCCGAAAAGAGGCAGAGAGAGTGGTACCAAGCCTGACTCGAAAGGAATGACGAGAGAGGAAGCTTTGGAGGAAAAATGGGAGATTACCACGAAGACCAAAAGAGTGAAGTTGGGACAGAATATGGTATCTCCAGGTTGTATCATAAGCCTTTTCCAGGTCAAAAGGACAGCAACAACGGAGGTCTTCGCAGCAAAAGCAGTACGAATATAGACCTCCAAGATCACCAGGACATCTGTTGTGCTGCGGCACTTGTGAAAACCATATTGAGAAGGAGAGAGGTGGTGATGGTTCAAAGAGCTTGCAAAAAC